AAGACAAACAAGAATTTATAAATCGCTTAAGTGGTATAGAAGCGTCAAATAACATTTCATCTCATTTCCACAACAGTATTCAAAATAAATTTAAAAAAAAAACTTTAATTCAAAACTAAGGGAAACGATTAACTCCAAAAGTATATTTCATCATGTAATTGGATTCTAAATCATATAATATAGGCTCTGATACCAAATGTAAGAAAATTTCAAAATAGGATTATATGATATTAGAACACCAAAAGATTCAGGCTTACTTGATTTTTGATTTCTTGAAGCTTCTTGTTTCCTCTAACGCTCCTGCAATGGAAAGACTAGGATCTTCCTCTGCATTTCACACCACTCCCTGATCACAATCGTCGATGGGGCGAGTTGTGGAGTAACGGTTTTCTATCATGTTGTGAATGCAGAGGGAACCTAGCCAAACTTATTAACCCTAGTCCCCTTCCCATCATGGGCCTATGTGTTAGGCCTACACTGTTACCACACTAATTAATTTACAGATATCCAAGTCCAAACAAAAGGATCACTAATTAAATGGGCTTTATACTGCATCCCTTTATGGATCTTGAGTTAGCCTCTTTTTATTAAAATAAGAAAAAAACTACAATTGATTGAAGCTCACAATTATTATAAAAATTTCTTACAGTTTTCACAGTGTTGTAAGAAAAAGTTGCGGAGTGGGACATTAGAATATTGAATTAGATTCTATCTTTCCAAAAATGGAGCCTTAATCTAATTTTACTAACTCCAAATTCAGTTTTGAATGAGAGAAAAAAGTTGGGTTGGATTTGATACTCAAGCTAGATTAAATATTCTGCATTCCAACTATAATTTTTACTTCAAAATAGCAAAATTAGATATTGATTCATTCGTAAGCTTTGCAGATCGTCTTCCGATCCTTGAAAAAAGTTCAACCTCAAATCCCATAACAACACAATTATAGTAACTTCAAGCTTTGTTTCAAGTTCTCAAATATCAGAATTAGATTTGCTTTTATGCTTTCATAACACTGCAGAATTTCCAAATTTGTTGTTTATAGCTTATATTATGGTCAAAATATTAAAACTGTAAGTTTCAAAAAAAAAATATATTAAAACTGAATCAAATCCAATGACAGCACTGCAAAAACTTCATGTTTAGCTTTAGTTTTGGCTTAATAAAGTTATAGATCGACTTTTAAGATTTCCGGTGTGTCAAAGAAAGTCTACATTCATAGTCTGTAATTTACGTTATGGTCTAAAAAATTAAATTATATCCTTATTATGACAGGAATGATGGAAGTGTTGGATGGAGAAAGAAAAAAGAAATAAATTTTGCGATGGAAAAGATAAGAAAAGAATGAAGAAGTGGGATTTGCGAGAATGCAACTTGTGGACCTGATTGCGTTTTCTGGATTTTCTTGTTTTCTATTACCCTTGATTTCTCCCAAGTGGACGATTATGTCAATGTGATATGCCCTTTCAGCTACCTGATAGATTTGTTTAATCCTGAATATATATATATATATATATATATATATATATATATATATATATATATATATGGAGATAGATCTTTTGACTCTAAAGTAACATTTACAATTCTTATGGTTATCTATAACAATTAATTATTTATTTATTTCAAATAAATAATAATAATTAGATGGACGGAAATCAACGGTTGAGATAGAAAGTAAGAGTTGTAAGTCTTACTCTAAAGTGTCAAAAGATCTCTCCTCATTAATTAAATGGGGTTGTTAATTGGACTTGAAAAAATAAATAAATACATAAATAAAAACAATACAGGGAACGGAAGGAAGACAGTTATAGTGGTGTCCACGTTATTTTACAACGTAATAAATAATGTATGCGACCGATTTCGGATCTTATTGCTCAGAGAAAATCTTTCGGATCCCACAAAAAGAGAGAGAGAAAATATTTATGTCCATGAGATCATTGACCCACTTAAACAAATTTGTTGTGTTTGACTATGTTTGGTGCATAGTATAGGATAAGGCCCGATAGTATAAGACCTGATAGTATAAGGCCTGATTGAATAAGACCTGATTGAATTTTAATATTATCCAGCGTTTGGTATGGTATTGTATAAAATAATATATTGCATAAGATAATATCATCTAGTATTTGGTAATGCACTGTATAATACTATATAGGATAAAAATAATTTTTTAATAAAAATATCCTTTAATAAAGAATTTATATAATTCTTCAAAAAATGTCATATGATATTAATTTTTATAAAAATTTATTGATCAGTGTGTCCAAAACATAAATTAATTTTTTTAAAAATAAAAATATTCAATATTTTAAAAATTAATATTTTGAAAAATTAATTTTTATTTTAATATATTAATATTAAAATAATATATTAATTTTTGAGAATTACACTAGTCAACGATGTTAATACACCAACCTCTTATCAGGCCTTATTCTTCTCCCTTATGCCGCATTAAGTTATACATCGTTTTGAAGTATTAAGGGATCCTGCTGTATAAGCTTATACTATACGATGATCACACAAAACAACTGAAAATGTCATAATGTATAATATAAACTTATATTATCATGCCTTATACGTCACACCAAAGAGGCCCTTACTGTTAATCTTATTATTGACATATCCTCTCATTTTGATAAAGTTTATTTTAAAAGCTCTTCGGAGAGTAGAGGGTTAGGTCTAGAAAACACCAGAAACTTCCATCTATTCATAGAAATAATAATGGTTGATGTAGACTTCCATACATTTGTTAATTGGACTTGAAAAAAAAATAAAAAAAAATCAAAACAGTCTACGGAAGGAAGAAAGTTTAAAGTGGTGTGTATAATAACTCTAATTACATGAATTTTAAATTAGAGGATTATGATGAGGACCTTATGGACATAAATAGAATGAAAATGAAATTCTAAGAATTTGGATACCCATATTGAGGGTATTCCAGTCAGGTGAATTTTTATCTGTTGTTTTTCACTGCTGACGCAGTAATAGACTATAGAATAGCTCCAGTATAGTGAATTTAAGTTTTTATCATGGGTAAGGATATCATCGCTGACATAATAACCTCTATACGAAATGCTGACATCGAGAACCTTCTATTAGTTTTTTTTTTAACGAGGGGGGGGGGGGGGGGGGGGGGGGGTACAATTCGAAATTCAAAACGGAAAAATGTAATAAATAAACCTTATTTTCTTTCAATAAATAGATTTGCAATTAAATAAAGGAATGATAAATATGAAAATAAGGGCCTCTGCTCGTAAAATTTGTGAAAAATGTCGATTGATACGCAGGCGGGGACACGTTATAGTAATTTGTTCAAATCCGAGACATAAACAAAGACAAGGATAATATTTCCACAAAAAGAGGACTTTTTTTTTTTAACCAGATGCACAGATAAAATAAATTTAGATAAAAGAAAAAAATAGTATAAATTTCAATATGAAATCATAAAAAATATGGCTAAACCTATACCAAAAATTGGTTCGCGTAAAAATGGACGTATTGGTTCGCGTAAGCATGCTCGTAAAATACCAAAGGGAGTTATTCATGTTCAAGCTAGTTTCAACAATACCATTGTGACTGTTACAGATGTTCGGGGTCAGGTGATTTCTTGGTCTTCCGCCGGTACTTGTGGATTCAAAGGTACACGGAGGGGAACGCCATTTGCAGCTCAAATCGCAGCAGGAAATGCTATTAGAATGGTAGCGGATCAAGGCATGCAACGAGCAGAAGTCATGATAAAAGGTCCCGGTCTCGGAAGAGATGCGGCATTAAGAGCTATTCGTAGAAGTGGTATAGTCTTAAATTGTATAAGGGATGTAACCCCTATGCCACATAATGGATGTAGATCTCCAAAAAAAAGACGTGTGTAAAACTAAAAATAAACATCGAAGAGATTTAAAATTCAAGAGAAAACAAAAATTAAAGGGTTGATGAAATATATTACTATGGTTCGAGAGAAAGTAAGAGTATCTACTCGGACACTACAGTGGAAGTGTGTTGAATCAAGAGTAGACAGTAAGCGTCTTTATTATGGACGTTTTATTCTGTCTCCACTTATGAAAGGCCAAGCCGATACAATAGGCATTGCGATGCGAAGAGTTTTGCTCGGAGAAATAGAGGGAACGTGTATCACAAGTGCAAAATCTGATAAGATACCACATGAATATTCTACCATAGCGGGTATTCAAGAATCAGTACATGACATTTTAATGAATTTGAAAGAAATTGTATTGAAAAGTCATCTGTATGGAACTCGGGACGCGTCTATTTGTTTCAAGGGTCCTGGGTATGTAACTGCTCAAGACATCATTTTACCACCTTCTGTAGAACTCGTTGATAATACACAACATATAGCTAACGTAACAGAACCAATCCATTTGTATATTGGATTAAAAATTGATAGGAATCGCGGATATCGTATAAAAACACTCAAAAACTTTCAAGACGGAAGTTATACTATAGATGCTGTATTCATGCCTGTTCGAAATGCAAATCATAGTATTCATTCTTATGTGAATGGGAATGAAAAACAAGAGATACTCTTTCTCGAAATATGGACAAATGGAAGTTTAACTCCGAAGGAAGCACTTTATGAAGCCTCCCGGAATTTGATTGATTTATTTATTCCTTTTTTACACGCGGAAGAGGAAAATTTAAAATTAGAAAACAATCAACACAAAGTGACCTTACCCCTTTTTACTTTTTATGATAGATATAGATTGGCTAGGTCTAACCTAAGGAAAAAAAAAAAAGAAATAGCATTGAAATCCATTTTTATTGACCAATTAGAGTTGCCCCCTAGGATCTATAATTGTCTTAAAAGATATAATATAAATACATTATTAGAACTCTTGAATAAGAGTCAAGAAGACCTTTTGCTGGAAGATCTTCGAGAAGATGTAAAAAAGATATTCGATATTTTCGAAATATATTTTCGAAAAACATTTTGTATAAATTTTAAATCCATTGTATTTCCATTGTATTATTTTTTGATTCTTTTTTATTATAAATTATTTTTTGATTCTTTTTTATTATAAAAAGTAAGGATCAAAATATAGAATAGAAATGGAATCTTTAGAACAAATCCTTACACTCGAAATAGGTGAAAAAATGGAATAGATGTATCTAGGGATTAGTCAGTCGTCTTAAAGTGAATTCTCCCTAGATACACAATATACATGGCATTTTATTTCACAATTGATTCAATTTAAAAAAGACCTAAAGTTAGAGATTTCTCAATAGGTAATGTTGCTCCAATACCCAACCAAAGAGCCACTGCGGTACCAATCAAAAAGACGGTTGTTGCTACTGGACGGCGAAATGGGTTTTGAAATTTATTAACATTTTCCAAAAAGGGTACTGTTAATAATCCCGCGGGTACCGAAACCATTAAAAGAACACCCAATAACTTGTTGGGCACTGTACGAAGTATTTGAAATACGGGAAAGAAATACCATTCGGGCAATATTTCCAAAGGAGTTGCGAACGGATCCGCAGGTTCCCCCATCATTGATGGTTCTAGAACCGCTAGACCCACATTACAGGCAATAGTACCTAGAATTACTACTGGAAAAATATATAAAAGGTCGTTGGGCCATGCGGGTTCTCCATAATAATTATGACCCATTCCCTTAGCCAATTTAGCTCTTAATACAGGATCATTCAAGTCAGGTTTTTTTGTTATTGGGATAGGTGAATTCTTATAGATCCATCCTCCGAAAGAACCGGACATGATAATTTTTCACCATCCGGCTCGAGCGCGAATCAAATGAACCGAATGTATCTATAGAAAAAATGGATATGTTATAGACACATATATGAGTATTTTTTGTAAGAAAATGGACCCTATTCTATTTTCGGGAGTTACAACTATCCATTGCAAAAAATTCAATTCTTATTTCTTTTATCAAATGCTCAATACCCAAGTAGGCTTTCAAAGTGCATAGTGCTTTCTGGGTGATCTCAAACCTTGCGATTGTTATTACGCCCCCAATAAATCTCAGGAGTTTTTACATACAAAGGATTTACTTGTTACTAATAAAATCTAACCCCTGTTCTTCTTTAGATCTACTTGTTTCACTCCGATAGTATCATAAATAGAATCAATGCATAGGAAATGCATGCATTTCCATACTATATGAGTTAAGTGAAATAGCTAAAGACTTCATTTTGATCATACCACATCACTTATTTGACTGGATCTTACGGAGCCAGGATAGGATCGAGTCTGATCATAGAAAAGATTCTCTTCACTTCAATCGAACCGGCATATCTTCTATAGAGGACTTGCGCGGTGGTTGGAACAAAGACACATTTAATTGTAAATTCAAATGTGACAGATAAGAAAAAAATCATATATCTGTACGGCCCAATTAATAGTTCAAGTCACACACTCCCATAATCCATTTTTTCTTCGGAGAATTCCCTTCAACTATTTGTGTATGTAAAATCAAATACAAATAATCTAATTTTCTTAAGTTGAAGGCAAATATCTAAATACATGTCTTATCTTTTTAAATAATCCATATTAGTAGCAATGAAATACTATTGCCCCCCCAAATGATAAATGATTCATATTATCTACAACGGACCAGAAATGCCTTGCTTACGTATCATTGGAAAGTGCATTAACATAAATACGGAAGTAAGAAGAGGTAATACAAAAGTATGTAAACTATAAAAACGAGTCAAGGTAGATTGTCCCACACTAGCACTTCCACGTAATAACTCTACCAAAGACGATCCTATTACAGGAATAGCTTCGGGTACACCTGTTACAATTTTGACTGCCCAATAACCAATTTGGTCCCAGGGTAAGGAATAACCAGTTACACCAAAAGATGCAGTCAATACAGCCAAAACTACACCCGTAATCCAAGTCTTCGCGGGGTTTTTTAAAACCACCAGTAAGATACACACGAAATACGTGCAAGATCATCATTAAAACCATCATACTTGCCGACCATCGATGAACTGATCGGATTAACCAACCAAAGTTAGCCTCAGTCATTATATATTGCACAGAAGCAAAAGCCTCAGTAACGGTCGGACGATAATAAAAAGTCATAGCAAACCCCGTCGCTACTTGGACTAAAAAACAAGTAAGTGTAATTCCCCCTAAACAATAAAATATGTTGACATGAGGAGGAACATATTTACTAGTTATATCGTCGGCAATCGACTGAATCTCGAGACGTTCTTCGAACCAGTCATAGACTTTATTGAGATAGGTAAACCAACGAACCCCCCCAGAGAACCGTATATGAGAATTTGAAAAACACACTTTTGCACGGAGCAACAGGAATCGGAGCAAGCCTTCGTTGACTGCCGATCAAGATTTCTTCTTTCATTCTTTCCAGTCATTTCTAGTTTTTATTAATTCTTTTGAATACTTTGTTTTGTCAGACATGAATATGTCTGGCTAGTTTTTTTATATTGTGGTAAGGGTCACAACCCTTGATGTGAACCCCTTGTATTTTGGTTAAGTTTATGAGTAATTCTTCAATTGAATTTATTTTACTCTGTTCTTCTTCCCATAATTCTTTTAGAATTCGCGACTCTATTAGGATTGCGAGGGTTAGGGTTCACAATAGGGATATTGGGATTCTAATTCCTGACAAAAGGATAAGATAACTGTTCATGTATGCACTAGGGATAGGCTACATGAACTGCAAATGTGAAAAATTCACTGGGCTTAAGGATTAACTTGAAAAGGGATTTCTAAGGGATTAAGATTCTAATAGGGTTAATAAAGTTAAGATCACTAAGGGATTAGGGCTTAACTCATTAATTATAGATGGTGAATTATTTGGTCAATTGGGTAATTAAATATAAATATTAATCAATATTACAAGGTGGGGATCGGAAAAGTGTTGGCGTCCTTTACTGCAATAATTTTTCTTTCAATATTTTTCTCAAATCTCAATCTTTGATTTTAATTTCTTCAAATTTCTCTCTGAATTATTCACGAAATATTGAATAGTTCACAATTGTTACAAATACCATTATTTTCAAACCAACCCTTGTTCATCCAATAAGAAAGGAATAGTTAAATTTAAATCTGGTGCCTCAATCCTCGTGGGACGATATCTTACTCACTTTTATTACTTGGTACGATCGGTGCACTTGCTGAAATTACGCAACAAGTTTTTGGCGCCATTGCCGGGGATTGACTACGCCTAATTTATTTTTAACTTTTGAATTTATTTATTGGATTTTGTTGTTACTGACCTTTTGCTTAGTTTATGCGAGGTAAAGTACATCGGGATTCTTTACAGTTCGATCCAGAAATAGAGAAAACTGCAAAGAAAAATCGGAAACAAGCCAAGCAAAGAAAGCAAGAGGAGTCCTCAAGTTCCAAGCCACAAATAACACCCGTGATGGCTACCAATAATGGAGATCAACCTCCTCCTCCAGCGGTGTTGATGGAGTCAATTTTGTCTCCTATGTTCACAAGGCCGAACTCAAGTGTTGTTCGGCCACAGATAGATGCCAACAATTTTGACATCAATCCGTCGCTGATCAACTTGGTAGAGAAAAGCCCATTCGGTGGAGAGGATTACGAAGATCCTCATGACTTCACGGACAGATTTCTGAGAATCTGTGACAACACGAAGCATCGTTGAGTGTCTGATGATGCAATCAGACTCAGGTTGTTTCCTTTTGCTGTGACCGAAAAAACCCTCAGATGGCTAACTCGACAAGCTCCCAACAGTATCCGAACATGGGAGGACTTAGCAGCTAAGTTCTTTGCTGAACATTTTTCTCGGGAAAAATACAACAAGTTGGTGAACGAAATCACTAACTTCATTCAGCAACCAGGAGAGACACTGTGTGATGCTTGGCTGAGATTCCAGGAGTTGATCAGAAAATGCCCACAATATGACTTTCCGGACGAGAAGAAAGTCAGAGTCTTTTACAACGGGATGACACTGGATACCAGGATGATTGTCAACAGTGCAGCCGGTGGAACCATCGGAAAGAAGACAACAGAGGAAACCCTAGAGCTCATTGATTATCTGGCACGGAATGATAATGCGTCGACTACAGTTCCTCTAGTTCAAACAGCTCAGCCCAAAAGGGGAATTTTACAACTAGGGAACACTGACGCCTCATTAGCTGAACAAAGGATGATTTCGCAGCAGCTGGCCAGTCTGAATGCCAAGCTCGACAGGATGCAGCTCTCAACATCCAAGGTAGATGTATTCGACTGTGAGTATTGTAAGGAGCCGCATGATACTAATGAGTGCCCTACACTCAATAGAGCTGAACCATTCCAGGTCAATGGAATTTGGTATGATCCAATGCCTCCACAGAACACTCAAAGTTATCAAAGGAATCAGAATGGAGGCCAAGGGACCAACTTTCAAAGGAGGAATCAAGGGAGCGGCTTGGATTATAAATCCAACAACTATCTGCAACCTTCTCCTCAGCAACAAAAGGAGCCATCCGAATTGGAGAAAACAATGATACAATTGGCCAAGACCACCAATGATCACATAATGGAGACCAGAGCTTACCACAAGAACCAGGATGCTTCCATCCGAAACTTGGAGAGTCAAATAGGCCAGTTGTCTAGGCAGTTGGCTGAAAGGTCTCAAGGACAGTTCTCAAGTGATACAATTGTGAATCCAAAGGAGGAATGCAAGTCCATTGTGACAAGGAGTGGAATTGTGATCACTTCTCAAGAAAAACCTAAATCAGTTCAGACAAAGAAAGTTGATGAGCCAACACCTGAACTGGAGCACGAGCAAGAAGAACCTGCAAGGCAAGACAAAGAAGAAGCAAAGGAGAAAGTTGTTGAAGCTCCAAAGAAACTGATGGATTATTCTCGTTTTGAGAAACCTCCATATCCTGTGAAGCTCAAGCAACAAGCACAGAAACAACAGTATGCCAGGTTTTTAGAAATGTTTAAAAAATTGCATATTAATATTCCATTTGCTGAAGCTCTTGCTAGCATGCCTAACTATGCTAAATTCATGAAAGATTTATTGTCTAGAAAGCGTAAGTTGCAGGATTGTGAGACAGTAGCACTTACTGAAGAGTGCAGTGCCATCATTCAGAAGAAGTTCCCACCAAAGCTTCAAGATCCAGGAAGTTTCAACATTCCAATTGCGGTAGGCAATACTAATGTTGGCCGGGCACTATGTGATCTTGGAGCAAGCATCAACTTGATGCCGCTGTCAATATGCAAAAAATTGGGAATTTCTGAATTGAAGCCAACCATGGTCTCTTTACAATTAGCTGACCGTTCAACAAGGAGACCCAATGGGATACTAGAGGATGTCCTTGTCAAAGTTGACAAATTTATCTTCCCTGCTGATTTCATTGTGTTGGATATGGAAGAAGAAACTGAAATACCTCTTCTGCTTGGAAAGCCATTCTTGGCCACAGCTCGGGCTTTGATTGATGTTGAACAAGGAAAGCTCGAGTTACGGATGAATGATGAGAAAATCACAATCGATGTGTTTAAAGCTATGAAGAACTCATCTGACCGCAATGATTGCTTCAGACTTGTTGTGGTTGAAGAAGCAGTCAAAGAGGTGATTATGGAAGAGAAAAGTGAGCTTCAAGAGCTTGAAGAAGAGTTGAAGGCTCTAGATGAAGCTACTCCACAAGAAGAGTTAGAAGTTGTTTTTGAGATGCTAGAAAAGAAGGAACATGATCTAATTACAGTAGCACCAAAAGCAGAATTGAAGGAGTTACCTGAAACTCTGAAATATGCCTTCTTTGGAGATGAAGATCAATACCCTGTCATTATCAATAAAGACTTGTCTAAAGTTGAGGGAGGGAGTAAGAAGGAAGTCCATCGGCAGCATGAAGAAAGCAAGCCAAAGGTTAAGATGGAAAAACACAAGAGTAAGGAGAAACTTGTGAAAACCAAGCCTAAAAGTTCTGAGAAACTTCTTCCTCAACCACATACATATGATCCCAGAAAGACACAACATCGGATCAAGAAGACTGGGTCATCATTGGTAGCATGCTTCCAACCACCATAAATCACAAGGGGTACGTCAGGCTCGTGACGTTAAACAAGCGCTAATTGGGAGGCAACCCAATAGTTGTTTTTTTATTTATTTTATTTATTTTATTTGCTTAGGTTAGTTTAATTTTTAAATAAGTCAAGTAAGTGGTGAATTAGTGACCATGTGGAAAAATTTTAATCTAGGAATTGGCGCCGTCAGCGCCAATTTGGCGCTAGTAGCGTCAGACAGCCAAAAGAGGCAGTGAATACCACGCTCGGAGCGTGGGAACTGCGCTCTCAACGTCAAAGGACCCAAAGCTCCCGAAGTTCCACGCTGAGAGCGCCTAAAAGAAAAAAAAATGGCAGTAGGTTCCACGCTCACAGCGTGAAACCCACGCCCTGAGCGCCAACTCACTTCACCAAGACACTTACTTTGACTTTTATTTTGCTGTTATGGTTTGATTATGTCTCTCTTTTATACATTTTGCTTTGATGATTATTCTGTGTTTACTGTTTAACAAGTGTGTGTGTGTGTTCCACCTGGCAGAATTAGCTCTTCGACTAGTATAGTTTGTTGCTGAGGACAACAACGTTCTAAATCTGGGAATTGTCGCATGTTGTATGCGAGACTTGAGACTTGCTAAATACTGCGGAACTACACCACGGGAAGAACGTCTAACAGAAAATTTTCTGAAAAGGGGAGATATTTTAACCTTCAAGTTTTTTTTTTCTATTTATTTGCTGTTTTTAGTTAGATTCAATTTTTAAAGAAAAAGGGAAAATTTTTAGAAAATTCCTAGACAAGCAGTCCCAGAGTGTTCTAAGCTTACTCAGTAAATAATTGGATTAAGTTGGATGAAGCATTATATCTGTGAGCAATTAATTGTTTTAATCTGAGAATGACTGCTCGTTTTTATAACTGTTTTGGTAGAAATTTTTGGTTAATGCTTGATGTTAAATTGCGAATTAAAGATTCTAGTTGAATTATAACTGTGAGGATTTGAGCCTGAATAGAAATTTTTCTTTTTGAGAGGCCTCACTGTAGTAGTTTCTAGAACTTGAATTGTTTCTCTGGCTTGTATGCATGACTGAAATGATAAAGGCATTTTTATTCTTGATAACATAGAGCCAAACAGCCTACCCATAAGAATTTACATTGTTAAGCCTCTTTGAGCCTTAAACCAGTTCATTCAAACCTGATGAAAATTGCTTAATCCTGTTCCTCTTGACACACCTTGAGAGATTGAATGCTGATCAAAGAAGAAAAGTCAAATTACTTCTCAAAAAGGAAAAGTTCAGTTGATGAACAAGGAAAAGATAAGAAGTTGAAAAGACTGGTTTGCAAAATATGGCAAAAATGCCGAAAAGAAAAAAAAAGAGGAGAAAATTTGCAGCTCAAAAGAAAAAAAGGAAGAAAACATCTGCAACCAAGGAGAGAAAAGGTAGTGAAGAAAGGGAAAGAATCCCAAGTTTGTAAATGAGGCAAAGCCTAGAAGATAAGGAAGTATTGTTAAAATCAGTATTTCAATCTCTCCAATCAGCTTCTGACCAAAAGATTCTCACCCCCAAACCAGGCCAAAGTACAACCTATCAAAGACCTTTTGATCAGTCTACGCATGTCAAATGGATTCCTCATTTTTAGGAATTGAGAATAAGTTCAAGCCTATGGAATTACTACTACACTGATGGAATAAGTGTGAAACCCTCAAACACTGAGCGTAATGAGAGTACATTTTAACTGGTGAGGAATATTAAAGTTAGGATTTAAATTCTTTATATAACTGAAAAGCATTACTGGTAGTTTTCAACAAAGATTTATACATGCATAGCAGTCTGAATTCTTAAGATGTTGTGTTCCATGTTTTCACTGAATTATTCTTTGCTGATAAACTTGAATCTATTACATTGCTCAGGACAGCAAAGTTCAAATCTGGGAATTGTTTGATATGCGCTCAGCATATAAGGAAATCTAAACCAAAAAGAGAAAGAATGTGATTAAATCTTAAGCAAAAAGGGCAATAATCACTGTTAATCTGTCAAAATTCTTAATCAGAGATTGCATACTAATTTTATGTTGATTTCATAGGAAAAATAGATAAATTGGAGCTAAAAAGGGAAAGCCAATCTGAAGGCCCACGCTCACAGCGTGGATCTCACGCCAGTGGCGTGGGAGGTGCGGATAATTCAACATAGAATCTTTTTCAATCAAAGACAAGATCACAGTGAGATTTTGAAAAGAAATTGGACCAGGCTTCTCCACTAGGTCAAGGACTCTATAAATATAGACTCAGACCTCAAGAGAAAAACACACTTTTGCACGGAGCAACAGGATTCAGAGCAAGCCTTCGTTGACTGCCGATCAAGATTTCTTCTTTCATTCTTTCCAGTTATTTTTACTTTTTATGAATTCTTTTGAATACTTTGTTTTGTCAGACATGAATATGTCTGGCTAGTTTTTTTATATTGTGGTAAGGGTCACAACCCTTGATGTGAACCCCTTGTATTTTGGTTAAGTTTATGATTAATTATTCAATTGAATTTATTTTACTCTGTTCTTCATCCCATAATTCTTTTAGATTTCGCGACTCTATTAGGATTGCGAGGGTTAGGGTTCACAATAGGGATATTGAGATTCTAATTCCCGACAAAGGGTAAGATAACTGTTCATGTATGCACTAGGGATAGGCTACATGAACTGCAAATGTGGAAAATTCACTGGGCTTAAGGATTAACTTGAAAAGGGATTTGTAAGGGATTAGGATTCTAATAGGGTTAATAAAGTTAAGATCACTAAGGGATTATGGCTTAACTCATTAATTATAGATGGTGAATTATTTGGTCAATTGGGTAATTAAATATAAATATTAATCAATATTACAAGGTGGGGATCGGAAAGGTGTTGGCGTCCTTTACTGCAATAATTTTTCTTTAAATATTTTTCTCAAATCTCAATCTTTGATTTTAATTTCTTCAAATTTCTCTCTGAATTATTCACGAAATATTGAATAGTTCACAATTGTTACAAATACCATTATTTTCAAACCAACCCTTGTTCATCCAATAAGAAAGGAATAGTTAAATTTAAATCTGGTGCCTCAATCCTCGTGGGACAATATCTTACTCACTTTTATTACTTGGTACGATCGGTGCACTTGTCGATTTTACGCAACAACGGCTCAAACAAAAATACCCAAATATTGGTTATAACGTAAATGGATATGTGTAATAGAAAGTTTGAAACTTTTGAAGTGAACCCTATAATTCCAACGTTCTCTGTGGTTATAATGCCACAAGACGACAGATCCATTTTATGCTCTGTACTATGAACGGGATCAATTATAACAAGTCACACACTCATATTCCGGAAATAAAGAGATAAAGAAATTCCACGATCGAACTACCAAATGAAAATAGAATGGGCTAAAAATAAAAAGAACTAAAGACTTATTTTTGTATTGAAAAGCTAGTTAGTCGGTTCTTATTAATCTAATTCATAGAAATTCCGTCCAATAAAATGGACGAATTATAAATCTCCAAAATAATAGATAGAAAGATGGCAAATAGCGCCATTGCAACACCCATCAAAGGAGTAGTCCCCCACCCCGGAGCGACTTTACCATATTCTGAATTCAAAGGTTTTAATAAATCTCCTACAACAGTTCGTCTTGGACCAGATCTGGAACTATCCTCAGCGGTTTGTGTAGCCATAAATCCTATTTTTTACTCATTGAGATATGTTGACTTTGTATACCATTCTGCTGTAAAAATCCATAAAATACTTAAAATTCAAAACATGTCAGACAAGCAAATTAAACACCCAAATTATGAAATCAACGAGCATAATAAACATAGGGCAACTAAAAATTCAAACATAGTAACACAACGTATCATCTTTCTATAACAAAAGAACTCTTTTTTTGAGCCACAATATGTTATGAAGTTAATAAAATAATAGGCAGTGTATATGTGTTCGAAATCAAGATTCGTAAGAGTATGTTCCGTTAATTTTGTTCCACAAGTGTAGTGTCCAATGGCTAGCAAGCTTGTTAGGCCATAACAAGAAGATGAAGCAGTGGTGTATGGACTACAAAAGGTGAAGCGTGTTTTTTTATATTAAAAATGGATAATAACAAAATTGTAACAAATGGATAAATCTTGTTTTGAAAAATATATCCAACAAGCATAATGCTTATATCCAACAAACCGTAAAGGATGAAAATTGCAACCATAAAAAAAAATAAGAGTAAATACCATTTTTGATCCTCAGCAAATTTCACGATGTCCTCTTTAGTCCCTAGCAAATAAAAAGACTCATCGTGGTCCCTAAGAAATTTAAAATGGACCAATTTTAGTCCTTTTAGGGACTAATATGGGTCTTTTTGAATTTGTGAGGGGCCACGATTTCAACTAAATGGGTCTATTTTGAATTTCTTAGGGACCACGATGGACCTTTTTATTTGCTAGGGACTAAAGTGGGCATTATGAAATTTGCTGAGGACCAAAAAGGGTATTTACTCAAAAAATAACTGTAGAAACTGTAACACCTCATTCCGGATTGGCGTATTAACTCACATATGAAGAATCACGACATTTGAATTAAAATACGGTAGAACTTTTTCTTTTTAAATGACGTTTTCACTTAAAACTACCGTATTTAAAAACAATTCCCAAAATAAGATAATAACCAAAAACAATTACGAAATATAAATCTCTACTGCTTAAATATCACACCATACATATAATAGATTTGCTAAGTGGTTTCCATAAACTAATAAAGCTTAAACACACACTTATGTACTATACCAACCTTATATAGGTTCGGTATTTCCAAAAGTTCACTTGACTGGTTTACAAATAAATTCTCATCTTTTAGTATGTTAAACTAGACTCTCTAAGATTTCCAACAAGGTATCATAAGCTTAATTTGGACTTCTACAACTCTAGATATGTTTACTGTAAGTTAACTACTCAAAACTCTCAACATACATCCACAACGAGTCTGGGTTGCTTCACTGCATTCAGAACTGCAGCTTAACCACTTATTTATTTTCTCTCAATTTTGGATATGTTATAGCTGACACCAGACCTTCAATTTGATATATTATAAGCCTTATGTTGATAAGAAACGAATGAGTTATGAATTTTCTAAGTTAACCAACTTTCGCCGTCAATTTCACTGCAACTGGGGAGCGAACTTAAACAACAACTGCACCTTATTTTTCTCTCATTGCAGTCCCATAGTTTATGATGTTAAAGCTTATATCCTAAGCTTCAAAATGATAGCTCACACACGTCATTTGAATAATAATTGAGCGAGTTATGACTTACTCAAGTCATACACACTACACTTACGTTCTCTTATAATTTTTGACAGCATCTATGCTGTTTATTCAACAACTAGGAATTTCACAATTCCACTAGTTAAAATCACTTGATTGACACAATACTCATTCCATTCAAACTGTATAATAAAGATGGCTCTGTGCCACTTACATTAACCTACCACATAAACATGTATATAAAAATACATATCTCTGTTATCCTTTACAAGATTAATTACATAGGCAACGTAGGCCTCTCAAAACATTGTCTACACTAGTTATACCACATCAAAACATATATATAGATAATTCACAAAAACAAGTAATTGTTCCAACTGGCAGTATAACACATCGTATTTCTAAATGAATAATTATATGTGATAATGTTGATTAAAAGGGTAGGATTAGTGAAAATCCTGAAATTAGGGTCAAATACGTAAAAAAGGAAAAATGGTAATTTACCAAACACGTACCCCAATGCAATAAAATTTGAGTAGAAAGCCTCAAATGATAAAAATAAAGCCGAAAATGGATTCAGGACAAAAAATCGAGTGGATAGGCAAGTTTCGAAAAATTTGATGAATAGTGATTTTACCGGTGTAAAATACTGCGGTATAATTGTACCGATAAGCGTGAAAATATGGTCACTATTTTAGGAAAAAAATATATGACTTGAACAAGAAAAATACGTAGGTTATGAATTTGTGGGTTAAAATGGGTTATTTAAGAAAGTTAATTCGCATGTGGGACCCACTTAAGTGACTTAAATGGGGGAAAGTCAAATTTCACTCAAAATATGATTTCTCTCTCCTCCTTCTTCTTCTTCACCTATAGCCTTCTCTCCTTTGTGCTTGTTGGAGTTCAAAGCTTCATTTAAAAAAAAATTCCATCAAAACTCACTCAAATCCAAAAGTGTAAAACATCAAAGTTGTTCCAAATTACCTTGTGAACATCTTTCCCTCCTTGAGTGAGCCACGAAATTGAGTGTACAAGGAGATCATTTTCCTATTGTGGGTGGCTGTTTTGGTGAAATGGGTGGTGGTTGGTGGCGGTTTTGGACCATTCAAAGGTTGAATCTTGTTCTTGGGTTGCCTATGAATTGATTGGTGGTAAGCTTTCTTCTCCAACTTTGATTTTGAATTGTATTGAATATGTGACCTAGGGTTGTGTTCTTGAATTGATATGGTTAGAGGACTCAAATAAAAATTGTGTATTAGATAAAAGTGGCTTAGAATGATGTGTTAGAGTGATTAAACTCATAAAAATTATTGGTGAAATTGTTGGATAACTTAGGAAAATTTGTGATTGAATTTCAATACTTTATGAAATTGGTATGGGGTGTAATTGAACAATTGAATTATGGAGCATTGGTATGGATTAATTATAGGATTAAAGGATGTGTATAAGTGTTAAATTGAATTGAAAGTCTTGGTTTATGCCTCTTGAAGAATTCGAACCATAAAAAAAATTTAGGCAAAAATGATGTGTAAAATGTGGTTTAATTAATGGTTGATGCTTCAGTGCATAATTGAAGGATTGGTGAGTTAGTTTGATTACTTAAGCGGTTGAGTTAGGGAATCAATTGTGAGAGGGCCATTAGGCCTAAGTGATTATGTTTATGTATTAGTGTTGTGAATTGGTTGATTGTTTGCAATTGGTTGATGGTCATTTTGTTGATCATATAGGCTGCCTCTCACGGAACCAATAGAGGAGGATTAAACTTGGAGCGTACATTGGGGAGCATTGCTTTGGACTTGAAGTAAACCTTTGGAACTTGGGTTTAATCCCTTGTGTTCTCCACCACACCTAGTGGAAGGTTGTGGTGGGATTTTGTGCTTTTTGACATGGTGTGAATATGTATGTTTATGCATTATTGGTTGATTGTGTTACATGCTTGGAGCAAGTTGTGTGTGATATATCTATGATCTCTGGCTAGTTGATGTGTGTGGTTTGGACTTCCGCTGGAGATATCCTTTGAGGATTCCGGTCGGGTTTTGCCGTGGGGCCGACTCTGGGAGCGGCACCAGGATGATCCAAACGTGATTTTGGATGTTATGAATTTTACATGATGTTATTGTTGCCCATTGAGTGAGCCATTGGGTGGAATGATCCTCTAGTACCCTTGGTTTACTAAGATATATTTGTATATCTCACCCTGTGTTTGGGGACATCATCTTGTGTGTTAAATGCTGTCATCTGTCAATTTTACTGAAGAGTAATAAATTACTTTTCTTTGGTAATCGATTACCTAAAATAGGGGACGCAAAATGTAACACCCCAAATGTGGATATACATATAGGGTGCACCTTCATCATGCATTCAACGCGCGGAAGTCTAAATTTAAACTTTACGAATGCAAATATCAGAGTGCGGAATGGAAACACATAACTATACTTATTCCATATAAAATTAAAAGCGTTAAAACGTCAATACAAAATAAATAACACTAAACATTATTTAATGTAATCCCAAAAAGATTAACTAATCATAAATAAAAACATAGTTTATGCCGCATCATCAGCCCAGTCATAATATGGTTGTGGTCCCTCTAGCCATTGTGTACTTAGTGCTTCGTCGAAATCATAATGTGGAAAAACTTCTATTAATAATTTCATAGCCTCAGTCCATAGGCCTCTATCTGTTAGATCCTTTAGTTTCTCTTCCCAGGTAGGTGGAGTTTCTTCTTCTTTACGTACCAGTCTCTTACCCTTTCTTTCCCACATAACTTTCTTATTACTTTCTTTCATCTTTTCCTGAAATGGGTGGTCAAGGGGGGTGAGATTTTGGGGAAAATCTCAGTAAGGTTCACAGCTGGAGCATTCTCCAACTATGACGCTTACTCCTGCAACAGTTTATAATAACAATACAAAATGGAACATTTAACATCATCATATAAAAATATCATGCCATCATCATCATCATCATCATATTCCTGCCGGCTTTTACGGACTTACGGAGATACCCAGAGTCCTCGTCAGGTTGCAACTAGAGTATCAGTGCACAGGCCAACATTTAATAGCATGGTTTTAAGTTTCAAAAATATCATAATCACATAATGTAAAGCACTATAAACATATTGCAGTCAGACCATAACTTATCATAGTTTCATAATGGTGGCATACATAGAGAGATTACTTCAACAACTGTAAACACTTACAGTGCTTGTCGTTCTTTACTTGTATACTTTCAACTTTTAATCTCTTTACTTGCCTGTTTGCTCCCTTGACTCCCTAACATCATCATATCATCTTTTAGTAACTTATATAACATTCAACATTTGTGTTTTATCCATGTATAGGTCTCGGCTTTGCAGGTTTAATTACCTATAGGAGTTGTTTTGCTTACTTACCCACTTGTGTAGGTTTTAGGACATTATTAGGTCATCATAA